CGAGAAAAAGAGTTCAGTCGGCGATGTCAAGAGAGTGGGAGTCCAGAGCGCAAAGGACGGTGGTGTCATCCGTCAGCCGTCCCGACCAGATCCGACATAACTCAGCCCCGCGCGGGCGATGCAATTGCAAATTTGCAACCCACATCCCTCGGATGCGTCCATTTCGGCATTGGCTGGAATTTCAATTTCAACTGCTCGGAGAATAGTACGGTAAAAGGAAGAAAATAACTTGTGCAGTCCACATATTAAAAAAAAAAAAGAAAATCCATTTCATTCATTAAAAGGCACCGTTAAAAGGAAAGGAATGGAAGAAAATTAGAAAAGTGATAACATAAAAAACATTAAATTTTTAGCCAAGTGTCTACAAACATTATAAAGACATAACAATCTTGGAAAGAAAGGGCAACTGTCTGCTGCTTCTGCAGCCAACTAATTAAAGTTCATGCACAAATTATTTTTTGCAGATCTTCTTGGAGGAAGAAAGAAAGCCAACTGCTTGCAGCTTCTGCTGTGGAAAGGAAAGCAAAATTACAAAAATTATTACGACTATTCTATCCATTGTTGTGATTAGAAAAAGGAGCACAAATAAAAAGAGGCTGTAGAAACTCACCTAAGAGCGTTGGTTGTGTTTTTGGGTTTTTCTCTTCTTAGGCCTGCAGATCCATCTTCCAACAAATTTCTCTTGATACTTCTCCACCTTCTTCACCACCCACCATGGTTTTCCTGTAGTGAAGACAATGTATCCTAGACTAAGTCCCAATACCAGTCCACACCCATAGCCCGCCAATGCCAACTTCCACTCAAAGAGTGCCGCAGAGTTACCTTCTTCATGAAATTTTGATGGAGGTGCTCCTGGTTCTTCCTCTTTGTGGCATTTCTTTTGTCAATGGAAATCCACACAACCCAGAGTTCCCAATGTAGGAATCATTTGAGAAAGTATTGAACTGCTTCCCTTGAGGAATGTCACCTTCAAGTTTGTTGTGTGAAAGCTTCAAAACTGAAAGGAATGTCAAACTTGTCAGCTCTCTTCCATTGATATTCTGCTATTTATAGCAGAAACAACACAAAATAACATAGAACATAAAGCCAAAAACATGGAAGGGTGCAGACATTCACCCAACTGGAGAAACCATGCTTTCTCTTTTTCTCAATTTTCATTCAATTTCTTCCTTCCTTTTTATAGAGGAAGGCTACACAAGTACACATAAAACAATAACATTTTTCTACTTAATACAATAATTATTAACTACCTAAAACATTGACTAAAATGATGAAGTTTGCTGCCATTTCTTGTAGTCAATGTGAAGCTCCATGCTGCTGTCACTTTGCTGCTACTGTGCGGTCATGTTGCAGCATCATTTCATTTCATTTTCAGCTTTCATGCCATAGCGCCAACAGAAACAAAGATCAGTATACGAACTTAATCTTCTAAGATTGTTTCTGCTTTCTTAATGAAACCATTTAGATTCTTGATAAAAGAATCATATCTCTCAACTTTCAAGAAATCTTGATAAAAGCATAAATTCTTACCGTGATCCATTATGAAATGAGCTGCAGATTATACTATTGCAAAACACAACAAACTTACTGACCTGAAAGTAAAGATCACAGCATCATCTCCTATGGTGACTATACAGACTGCCCGACAATGAAAGCAGCTGAATTCAAATAGTAGAATAAATTCAGAAAGTTTCCATTTTTCATTGGAAAAGAAAAGGCAGAATAACTAAAAATGAAACAGGAAAATAACTCTTTTGTATCTTTAATTATGTTTTTTTTTGAAATCATGTAGCCAATAATTACTCAAAACTTTAGACCATTTGAAGCACTTCTATAGAATCCATCTGCAAGCAGCAGGCTCTAATTATCCAAGGAATCACCTTAGAGTTCCATCAATGGAGGAGGATTATGTCAGTGATTTCTGCAACAACACAAAATATTAATTAAAAGCACTGAACTAGCAAAAGTAATATAACAAAAGCACTCAGTGGGTAAACTAGTGGAGCCCCATTTCCATACAAAAACTTCCAGTTAATAAATCCAGTGGGTAACAGATTTTCACATTATATTTAAAAGAAAATTGATTTCAATTTGTAGACTTCTTTCTTCGATCTAAACATATCTTAAAGATCATGCATATATACCTCAAGAATTTGTTTCCGAGGCGATAGCCATTCTTTGTTGGTTCAAAGTAAGAGAAACTTCACCCTGATAACCTCTGTTGATTAACATCTCCGAGAACAAGCAGCTTGCGTCAATTAATTATATCCTTGAAAGAGTAAGTGAAATCCATTATTCAGTTAAGATAGCTCCATAGTTTAAAAATATTCAAAATGACTAGGACTGAACAGACGTTCTGCAGTAGCATAAACTAGTGCCCAAGTGTCTAAGAGCAGCAATATACAGCCAAGTGAACTGGTTACGGTTGACAATGTACCAATCTGTGACAAGGTGAGTTTTCCCCATTTCTGCAGTGATCCACCAAAATCATCGAAGGAGAAACTGTGATGAAATCAATAAAACATTCAAGAGACTTTTAAAAAGAACAAATAAGAATTAAGACAACTAAAAGAAGAGTGCTAATCCCATAAAGGCTAAATGGCAAATTAAAATTTAAAAAGCAATAGCATCCAGGATGAATAGACAGCAACACACAGTATCACAATCAACTTGGACGCCTTACTATAACAGAAAGACAAAAGACCAGCATTAACTACTTTTGCAATTTCCATTACACTTTAATTAACTGAATCTCGTAACAATAAGGAATCTTTATTTGTTAATCTAGGCCTAGAATAATACACAGTTTTGGTGAGTGCACAGAGCAAAATGAGAAAGAAAAAGCACGGAACTAGGTCTGGGACGTAATACAACGCAGCTAACAGAAAAATGAGAATTGCCACAAATAGAACTTACAAGTAAATTGAGGTTGCTAAACAAATTCAAGTGCTTGATCTTATTAAAACAGACAGTTAGATAAATAAAACTTACAACAAATTCTGTTTGTTACACAGCTTTCTTAATGGAACAGCTCACATTCTTGATGAATGAATTGCCTTCCCTTGAGTAATGCAACACAAAAAGAAAAATATGCATCAGACACAACTTTCTTTATTTTAGCTTCTCACCAGACACAAGAAATAATTCACAAGACAACCCAATATCAATGACAATAACAGGTAAAGACATTTTTCAAGTTTCAGCAATAACTCCTAGCCTTTCACTACAAGATACGTACCCAAATATCAGAGCTGTCAAAACAAGCAATTACTTCAGCCATGACAACAGAAACCTTTCCTGAGGATGTAATCTTGGGTCGTCTCTCTCTTAGCTCCACAGACTCTCAATTTTAGGATGCTTGCAGGATATACCATTTGTAAGAAAAATATCCATTGACAAGTTCACAAAAAGAACAACAAATATAACTCTAATTTATCTCAGCAAAATAAGATCAAATTGAATGATCTCTACTCTATTTAGCATGACCTACACTGACTAGCCATGAATACAATGCATAAACCTCAGAATTTAAATAAAAGTTTACAAATGAGACCTGGGACTTACATATGTTAATGCTAACCTACATATGTTGTGTTTAAGAGATAGAAACATTTTATCTCAGCCTTGGCATATGCAGCGTGGAAATATCTAAAATTTTTAAGTAGTAAAGACGAAACACATTAATTTATTCCACGCAGAGAAAATTATAGCTTTCCCTCCAAGACAAATTAATATCTCCAGACAAAAGGAAAACACCAAGGAAAATTACCTGCCTATGAATCAGATCACCGGCCAAAGAATAAGACTTGAGTTTGGCAATGGCTAGGGGGTGGGCCTCCAGAGAGCAAAGGAGGTTGGGATCGTCCCTCACCCAGCCCTCTTAAGTAATAATCCTCCTTGAAATCGCTCAGTTGTCATCCAAGATTCATCAAATGCGTCTCTGCTTCCACACCAATCGGAGAAATATGGTGAAAGGAGATGTTTGGGGGTCCAAAAATTAAAGAATTTTTACATTTTACTTCAGTAAAATGGACCGTTCAAAGGCAACCAAAACAAAGGAAAAGAGAATAAAATACGAAGAGATAAATAACATTAAGAAACCAATTACATGAGCAATTGCCTGCAGAGCAGATAGATGAAATCCAAAAGAAATCAACACAAATTCATACATAACCATAATTCCCACACAAGTCAACACAACTATATATCAACAATGAACATGAAAAATATGAAAACAAACTCAAGAAGCAACTGTTGTCAGATCTCTCCAGAGTAGGAAATCAACTACACCTGCATTCACCTACGTCAAACAAAGCAAAAGTAGAAAAATTAAGTTTCACTATAATATACCTCGATTTTTTTTATGGTTAGAACTTAGATAGAACACAAATATTATAGAGAGACTTTTAGAAACTCTCTCACCTAAGAGCGTTGGTTGGGTTTTTGACTTTTTCTCTTCTCATGCCTTTGGTTGTATCTTCGAACTAATTTCTGTTGATATTTCTCCACTTTCTTCACCACCCACCATGGTTTTCCTGTAGTGAAGGCAATGTATCCCAGACTAAGTCCCAACACTAGTCCACACCCATAGCCTGCCAATGCAAACTTCCAAGCAAAGAGTGTTGTAGAGTCATCTTCTTCATCAAATTGTGATGTAGGTGCTCCTGGTTCTTCCTTGTTATGGCATTTCTTTGTCAATGGGAATCCACACAACCTAGAGTTCCCAATGTAGGAATCATTTGAGAAAGTATTGAACTGGTTCCCTTCAGGTATGTGGCCCACAAGTTCATTGTGTGAAAGATTCAAAACTGATAGGAATGTCAGATTTGTCAATTGCTCAGGAATCCTGCCTTCAAGCTTGTTTGATGAGAGATCTAATGACTCAAGTGCTGTTAATTTCCCCAACGATGATGGAATTTGACTTGTAAGACTGTTATGAGACAAGTTTAGCCCTTTAAGTGAATTAAGTTCTCCCAGCTCTTCAGGAATTGGTCCATGAAATTGATTGCTTGAGAAATCTATAGTTGTGAAAATTTTCAAGATCCTTTCAAGCTCCCTCTCTGACCCTTTCATTACAAGTGTCACAGAATCCTTATAATAATAATCATAATAAGCACGAAATCTGCACCTAGTAACTGGACGACATCCATGGGTATAAGGCCCATATACTTGCCCGTCAGCACGGGTAAAACTAAAAGGCCTATATACTTGCTCGTCACCAATGTATTCCAATGTATCAGCTGGAGCTATATCCCTCATACCTTTCAAAATTTTGAAATAGTTACTCGGTAGGAGACCCATAAAATCATTCTTAGCGACATCAATGATTCTCAACTGAGGGAAGTAAAATACAGGCATAGAATTGTTGATAACACCATGAAATCCATTAGATCGAAGGATGAGAACTTTTAGCGAGGGAAGAACACCTAACCAATCTGGAAAGGTATCATTCAAGTTGTTGTTCCCCACATCTAGAATTTCCAAGTTACTACAATTAATCAAAGACCGTGGCAGTAGACCTTCCAATTGGTTGCCATTTAGGGTAAGAGTTCTCAGTTCACTCTTGTTGACAAAAGAATTTGGTATTCTACCATGAAAGTTATTCATCCGCAGATCCAAGAAGGCGAGATTTCTCAAGTTTCCAAGACATTTTGGAATTTTTCCTCCCAAACTATTATAAGCTAAATCCAGAACTCCAAGAGAAGTCATATTGCAATAAGAAGAAGGGATTTCGCCATTCAAATCATTCCCTGAAATGAAGAGTTGTTGCGTAGAATACCAAGTAGTTGATAGAATGGGGAGTGAATCTTGTAGTAAGTTGGATCTAAGGTCAATAGTTTCAAGATTTCCAAAACCAAATGAATCTATACTAGTCAAGAAGTTATACGAAAGGTTTAAGGTATCCAATGACATCCCTTCTATTTCCCATTTGTGAATTTGACCAAAAATGTTGTTCTTGGAAATATCCAATTCTCGCAAACTCTTTGCCTTCCTTAAGAAACTTGGGAACTTGTGTATGTTGCAAGAAGAGAATTTTAAAGACCAGAGATTTGGAAAGGAATAGTTGACAGCAGTGCCATTATTGCTCAAAGATAGCAAACTATTATCAGAAAGATCCAAATCCCAAAGGTTTACAAGTTTTGAAAGCATGTTGGCTGTAATACTGCCACTTAAATTATTTGAAGAAAGGTCGACACTAGTAAGATTCACAAGATCAAAGAAGGAGCTAGGAATTGAACCACTTATCTCACTATTGGAAATATCCAATTCCCGCAAACTCTCTGCCTTGCTTAAGAAACTTGGGAACTTGTGTATGTTGCAAGAAGAGAAGTTTAAAGACCGGAGGTTCGGAAAGGAATAGTTGACAGCAGTGCCATTATTGCTCAAAGACAAGAAACTATTATCGGAAAGATCCAAATCCCAAAGGTTTACAAGTTTTGAAAGCATGTTGGCTGTAATAGTGCCACTTAAATTATTTGAAGAAAGGTCGACATTAGTAAGATTCACAAGATCAAAGAAGGAGCTAGGAATTGAACCACTTATCTCATTATTGGACAAATAGACTTGTTGTAAAATGAGATTAGGCATCTCAACATGATCAATAGGTCCGGTAAAGCAGTTGTTATGGAGATCTAAATAGGATATAGAAGGCAGAGAAAACAACCAAGAAGGTACATGACCTAATAGCTTATTTGATGATAGTGACAAAAAAGTAAGATGGGTGAGGTTGAAGATTGATGCAGGAATCTCACCACCAAAATTGTTTGCATCTAAGCTCAAATCAGTTAGCTCTGTAAGATTTGCAAGAGATCTAGGAATTGATCCATAAAATTGGCAGCTATCAAGATTCAATTTCTTCAAGAATTTAAGGTTTCCGATCGAATGAGGCAACTCTCCTGAGAAGTTTGTGTTTGCAAGATTCAAATACTCGAGGGTACTACTCCGGTTTGACTCGAGCAAATTACCTCCTAAATTATAGTTTTGGCTTAAATCAAGAGGCTGAAGAGATGGAAGCTGAAAAACTTGGTTTGGAAAGTTTCCTTGCAAATCACAAGAGCTAAGGCTCAAATGCTCCAAGGAAGAAGTCAAGTTTAGCAAGGAAGAAGGCACAACCAGAGGCATACTCACAAAATCAAGGATAAGAAACCTTAATTCTGTTAAGTTATGCACAAGCATTTGAAACTTCCTGTTGTCAAGAAACAAACCATAATTGCGGGAGAGATCGAGTGAAACCAATTTTGATAGCAAAGAGATCTCATCAAACAAGACAGAGCCATCCATAGATACTGCATCTGCAAAGTTAAAGATTTGTCACATTAGAAGAAGTGAAACCAATTTTGGAAGCATGGAGATTTTAAACAAAAGAGAAAAAAAAAAAAAAATGAAATATCATACTTGAGAGATTAAGATATGTCAAACTCTTCCAATTGTAGAACCCAAATGATATATTGGGGTAGCTAAATTCATTGTAAGCAAGGTTGAGGCTCTGCAATTTCTCAAGGCGGAAAAGACTACTATTTGTAGTTAGATTGGCTTCAAGACGGTTACTGCTAAGATCAAGGCCAATCACGTGACCCTTCGGCTTGTCGCATGTGATGCCCTCCCACAAGCAGCAGTCTTTACTCTCGTTCCAAGTTTGTATTATTTCACCACTACTAGAACAGTATTTCGCCAAATTAGTAGTGCTTTTGAAGTCAAGCAATGCAGAACGCTCTTCAGGACGGCACAAATGTGGCGGTGAATCCAGAGAAGATTGAGAAGGTGAGGAGCTTTGGACTCGAAACTGCAACGACATGAAGGAAAGGCAGAGGATTTGGGAAAACCATATTAAGCTTCCCATTTTCTTAAAGACGAACACAATTCAGCAAACAGAGAAGTGATGGATTATTCAAAATTGAAGGGCTGGACACCAGTATTTATCGTCTTCCCAAAAGTGAAAGTCCTTCGGCATTTTTGTTGAGTCACCTGTAAATTTCTTTAGCAGGTCAAGTTTTTTCTTTATCGTTTTATAAAAAAATACCGTTCACACAATTAAACTTTCTTTTATATTTTAATAAAACTGCACTGGTATTGAAGAGTCATTTGCTACGTTTACTTAATATTTTAATAATAATTAAAATTTAAATTATAATATTATTATGTTATTTTTTTATTTTTAAATTTCTCTTATTAAAAAATATTTTTTATAGTACACATAGTTAAACTTTTTTATTGTTAATGCAGATAATTACAAATCTTAAATGA